AATACTATGCTTTTACCTGAGAGAACACCTCTCTAGGAATCTCTAGATCAGGGGTAGGCAATCTTTCCCCTTTAAGGGCCGAGGGACTTCAGCTCCCAGAAGCCTCAGCCATGTTGGCCAATAGTCCCATGTTGGCCAATAGCTCCTGGGATTCTGGGAGCTGAAGTCCCTCGGCCCTTAAAGGGGAAAGGTTGCCTACCCCTGCTCTAGATCCTCAAATGGCAACTCTGTGGTCATCATCTGCCAGACACTGAACATAGAATTATGCTGGAGGAGATACAAGTGCCTAGTGGAGTGTTCTCTTTAGGAATATCTAGGTCCTTCAGTGTGACTTTTGGTTAAAGATGAACCATAGAGTTGTGCTGGAGGACCTAGCTATTTCTAGAGAGAACACATTAATAAAATTCATGAATAATCAAATCTGCAAAAGTCAAAGCTGCAAATGTGGAGGGATGAGTGTAGAGCTCCAAGGTGGTGGAGTCATCTTCTCACTCTTTATGTTTCTAGAAGTTGCCTAGCTGTCTGCTTCAACTGTCCTTGGCATGACACTAATAGCAGCAGAAAGGAAATGGTGGAGAGTGGCAATAGTTGCAGGTTACCATCTCTGCTCCAGGGGTGGGTGGGTGGGGGTTCTTGTGATCAGTGCTGGTACTAGTGCAGTCATTGTGTTCACATGGGTAGTTTTTCAGTTCACTAAATATCAACTTAAGAGTAATAAAGACCAATAGTGAAAGTTCATTTAGCCATGGTTTCCTTGCAAAGCTAGCAATTAAAAATAAGAACCTTTGGTGAAGACTTGGCAGTGTACTGTTGAACTAACCAATTGAATTACAGCATAGATGGAGATATGATGGCCCAATCTTCATAGAGCCCAATAAGAAAAAATAGTTTTATGTTTGTCTTTATGTTTATATTTATTTTTAAGTTTTTCTTCTTAATTGAGAATCAGCCCTGAAGTCTCAGGTGTCCTTTGTCCATCTGAACTTTTACCTAGTCCTAGTATTTGGGCCCTTCTAAGCTTTATATTATCAGCGAACTGAACCCCTGTATGATTTCAGTTGATGCTAGATTGCATTAGTCACTCCAAGGTGTCTTCAAATCTATATATCAAGTGTATACATAATTTTGCCAGTGTGAAATGCCACTTCTGGTTCTGATCATAATGACATGAGAATGTTGGATGCTACTTTCAAGAAAAACCTTCCATCCCTACCTTTGCCAGTAGAGAGGAACTTGATAACGTGCCAGCTGCATTTTCAAGACTGAAATGAAAAGAGCTCCTGGAAAGAGCTTCCAGCAATCAATAGGCATTTCAGAGCACACACCACAGATACTTTTTCCTGGCTGCTATCCTGTCCCCTGTGATACTGACCTCTGTATCTAGTGCTTGTTCACATCCATCCCACTAGTAGCAGTATAATTTTCTTTTCTTGATGCTCTCCTAGATGGATTCCTGAAATGGTGCTAGTATTTGCTTAGAAGTGAGAAAATGGGGCTAAATATATATTCCACATAAGGGGAAAGAAAAGATAGGACACTATAACTCTCTGCTTATTGCCCATTATTGCTATTTGGTAGATGACAACAACTGTTGGATGACATTGCCTGGCCAGTTAGATTTAATTCCTTTGTCTCAAGTAATTTAGCAAGAGAATGCTAAACACTGTATCATAAATGTTCTACTTTGTTTTGGGTTTTTGTGTGTGTGTCTTAAAATGCTAGAATTTAGCATTGTTGGAGATTATTTCATGATTATCATTCCATTGTCAGTATTATTTCCATATGCATATTGAGTACAAGTATGTTTTTGAGTACATTCCAAAGCATACAATTGGTTGTGTTTCCAAATACACTATGTTCTTTACCCAGTTTGCTCTTACCTTAATGAACTGTATGGGTGTCTCTCCCTTTTTTGATATAACAACATATTTATTTCCTCACCTTTTCCCAAATCTGGGACTCAAAGCAGTTTGCAAAAGTTACAAAATTTTACCTGCATTTATTTTATCATACAGAAGTCAAAATATAATTGAAATTTTAAATATAATTAAATAATTTAATTTAATAAATATAATTATTGATAATATGATTATCAATAAAATTAAAAAAGTTAAAAGCAGGTCATTAAAAAAAAATCTGAACAACACAGCACATGAAAAACCCATTCCCCCTGAGCAGATTTTCCTCAAAGGCCAACTGAAACAAAAAAAGATCTTCATCTGCCTATGAAAGGAGAGCAAGGAAATTGTCAATCTAACCTCTTTAGGGAATTTTATCACATGGGAGACAATTAGAAGTATAATAGGTATTTAACTTGTGATAATCCCACAATTGTGCTAATGGTTTTCACACTATGACATGTTCAAAGTGATATTATCCTATGAATAACCTGTTATTATTGCACAATTGCATTAATGGTTTTAACACAACGTTGAGGTGAAACGTGATTAAAGTGCCATTAACCCGTGAATAACCAGGCAAGAAACAGCAGTAAATAATTCACAGGATTTTCCCGTGAATGACTTTTTGCTGTTTATTGCCTGGTTATTCCCTGGTTATTCACAGGATAGCGGCTCTTGTCTTAATCTCATATTAATCACGTTTTAATGTCAATTGCACAATTTTCTTGGGTTAATCACTGTTTAAAGTCCCAATTTCCCCCCTCCCCCTCCCCCCTCAATTCCCAGAGAATTGAGAAGGCATTGAGAAGGCCCTCTCATGTCATATGGGAAGGTTCTTCTGGTAATCTGGTCCTAAATCATATAGGGCTTTTTAGATGTTGACTAGCACATTTAATCGTGCCTTAAAAAAACTATCAGCAAAGGAATTATATGCTCTCTGTAGCCAGCCCCAATTAACAAGCTGGATACAGTTCTTTGGGCCACATGAGGTTTGTAAGCACTCTACAGAAGCGGTCCCAACTTGTGTTACAGTAATCCAAATACAATGTAACTATGGCACATGTCACCATTGCCAGATCTGGTGTCTTAACAAACAGGCACATCAACTGTGTGAATTCTAGACCACCAGACTCCATATAACCTCTCCTAGAAGTTTCATGCATATGGCAAAACAGAGCCCTGAACTATTCAACAGGTCAGTGGTGAAGGAATCAAACAGGAACCTCCCAGGGCCATCTTCTGGGTTTGTCCTTTCAGGGAGAAACAGAACACTGTAAAACAGTGCCTTCAATTTCCATCTCATCCAGGCATCCCAGGAGGATACCAGGGTTAGTGATACAGAAAGCCTTCGAGAGGTCCGCAGAACCAATAGGGACACACACTCCCCTTCTCCAGTTTGTGGTGAAGGCAATCTGTGCTGTTTCTGTTCCATAGCCAGGCATGAAACCCAGATGGAAATGGATCTAGATAATCTTTCTCATCCAGCAACCCTTGGAGCTGGGTGACTAAAACATAGCCCAGCATTCTAAAATGTAATATCGGAAACTGGCTGGAAATGATTCAATATGCTAGATCCAGAGAGGGCTTTTTCAACTATGCTTTTACAGCTGCCTCCTTAGGCATAGTGCAACTCTATCTTGTTTTAGAAAGGCGCTGGTCACTCCTACCCAGTCCCTCTCTGGCTTTTTAAAATAAGCCAGGAAAAGCAAAGGTTTAATGCACATGTGTGACTCTCCAAAAATCCTGTCCTTATCCTCAGACTGTATAAATGGAAAAGTACTCCTTATCATTGGACTAGTGGCATCCCTAGGGTGGAAGCCACAGGGTCTGGGAAGGGCCAAGGAGAAGCTGGTGAGGGCCTGGGAAGGCCTGAGGAGACGCTGCAGGGCCTGGGGAGGGCTGGGGACCGACTGGGTGTCACCCCCCCCCCTTTCAGGGGTGTCACCCCAGTGATGCTACTGTACTGGACAAATGCAGAAGTTATATCCACTGGATCTGTATTAATTACAGCATCTAAATCAGAGCATATCCATGAAGTTTTATCATTAGTTTCACTTTCCTCTCTTTTCCTTATCCTGGTGTCTTGTTGTGTAGCTTTTGAAATGTGGAACAACTTCCACCTTCCACTAATTTTTTCTCCTAAAGGCATTGTCTGACCAGTATTTCCAGAAGCATCTTACAACTGCATTACTTAATCTTCTGTTGTTATTCATTTTCAGTCTCTTGACAAGATTTTTACGCAGATAGGATAATATTAGTAAAGTAAGGATTTATGTAGCTGTGAGCATTTCAAAAAGATTTTTGAAAGTTTACCGTAATAAATGAGCCTGAATTATAATTCTACTCCTTTTGACAACAGGGGAATCATTCTAATTGACTAAAGTTGTGAACTCCTAAAGCTTGACAATTAGTCTGTGTTGCTAACTAGTAACGACTTGTCAAATTGGTTTACTCTACTAATAGTTGCAGTAAGCACAAATAATCCTGAATAATCCTTCTATTATGAAACCAATATCAATATTCAGGGTCTCATTAAACTGTGACTGCTGTAAAAGGCTTTGCAGCTGTATTTCATTAGTTACCCAAAAAACCCTGGGGAAGAAAAAAGGATGCCCCATTAAAGTACAGATGCTAAGCCTATATTAGAAATCTAACATGTAATAAGCAGTCAGAATGGAATTTCTGTCAAGTAACAGATGATATGAATTTCCATATTCCATCATAAGTAATTTGTACAAGTCTGGTGATTGCTAATTGTTTTGTGGTTTAAGCAGTGCAGTGTGAACATCACCTCTCTGGAGTTTCAAATAACTTAAATTCATGCATCTAAATTAGAATATCACATATTTTGTCTCCATTTATATTCTGTCTTCTTTCAAAAAAATTCAAGATGGCATATATCACAATTATCCAGGTGATATATATTTTTGTCCAGATGTAAGTAGCTTTCAATAATGTTTCTTGCTATGTGCCTTCAAGTCAACTCCAACTTATAGTGACCCTAGCCCACAGTTTTCTTAGCTAGATTCCTAGGAGGTTTGCCATTGCCTTCCTGTAAGACTGAGATAATGTGACTAGCCCAAGGTCAGTGGGTTTCTATGGCTGAGTAGGGATTTGAACCCTGGACTCCCAGAGTCCTAAACCAATATTTAAACCACTACTCTACATAGGCTCTTGGATAGTGAAGCTGAATTTTATGGTTTCAAATAAAAGTCCAGATGAACCTTCATATTAAACCTGTTAGGCATTGTCTGGATGCTTCTGATATAGCAGATTAAAGGAAAGCCAAATAGACTCAAAGCAACTTGCCCACTTTGTGAACAGTCCGTGTACCTCTTTTATTTGTCTTTTATTTAAAAATAAACAAACTAAAGTGTAACACCTTTCCTTTTTAACTTGCTCATAAAATATATGGATTTATTTGTTTAATTTATTTCCCACCTTCTTCCTTGTGCAAGATTCAGTGTGATTTACAAGAATTTAAAAAATAATAATAATGGCACAGTTAAATTATTTATACAAGTCATATTTATTTTAAAACATTATTTATAAAAAGTTAAAAACAATTCAATGACAGATCATTTAAAAACAGTAGATTAAAATAATATTAAAAAACCAGGAAGATATAGTAAAAAAAGAGAAAACCATGACCCACTTAAAAACATTTCTGCTGCTTAAATTATAATCAAAAGGCCTGCTTGAATACAAAAGTCTTTGCTAGCTGGCAAAAGGAAAAGAGAGAGAGGGCCAACTAAACTTATTATTATCATCTTCTTGGTGATAAATGAGATGTTCAAGTTTGTTCATGGCACCAAAGTATTCAGTTTGGTGGGTGAAGAGAGGAGTTGCAAGGAACTTCAGAAGGATCTCTCCAGATGGGGTGAATGGTAGTAAAATGACAAAAGCAGTCTACTGTAAGTGCAAAATACTATATAACAAAATCCAAAAACTGCAGTGCAGCAATATTCCTATTGGCCAGCCAAACTGCACAAAATACAGCATGCAAAAATACTTTCCTTGGGATCTAGGCTGTCCCTGTCTGGGTCTTTGGGACTCTAAGCTGTGCTTATGTTGCAACTCTAGCAGTTTACCATGTACTAAAAGCTAGATCACAATAGGGCAGGGACAACCTAGATCTCAAGGGTATGAGGAAATATGAGAGAGTGTAGGGAATTTCTCAAGCAGAGCAATTGAAGTGCTGGGCAGAAGGTGAACAGTTCATCAGACCACTCTACTCCATACACAGGATCTACCAGAGAAAGAAATCAGTCTTCTTCATAAGGGATATAAAAGTAGTTGTACTCACTAATACTTGTACATAATCAACACAGGTTCATCTTCTTGAGGAAGGTAAGAAAACAGTACTACATGGTATCAGGAGGGTTGTAGCATCTCACCTAGAGAGGCTCTTATCAAACATATTTCATTGAGAACAGGCAGGAAGGAAGGGAGGGAGGGAGGTGTGAGAGCAATGAGATCCCAGAGAGCAAAGGTAGGCTATGCAATGCGCAAAGAGAATAGGTACAAACAAACAAACAAACAAACAGGAAATTACCATAATCATACTGTGCCTAAACCTTCCAGAGAGGGATATACAATCTAACTACCAGTGAGTATAGGCATGCAAAGGTTGCTAACTCCAACAAAGGGAAATTACTTTTCTATTGCTAATGGAGCTGATATTTTATTACCTGTATTTTATTGCACTTTGTCCCTTGTGTCCACATGGCCAAGAAGGGAAGTGGCCTCTACCTATATTGAGATCCCCCAGTACCATCTTAACTGACAACAGAGTAAAATCTGAGATGAAATGAGGGCCCGTGACTCTAAAATTATCACTTTTCTTCTCCAGCATGATGTTTAACATCTTTGCCTTATGAAGAAGCCAGTGAAACTTTGAAAGCTTGCATGATGTATTTAATGAATTTTGATTGGCCAATAAAACTATTGCTGTTTCGTGGATTTTGCATTTTGTTGTCTTTTTCTGCAGAGCTAACATGGATACTCCTGAGTACATGAGTGTAAAGTGATACATATCAGGGCAAACAAAACAAAACAATTGCTAACATCACAATACACTGGTTAAGGCTGAGCTGACAGTGATTGATCATACAGATGGATAATTCTGTATGTAAAATATGTCTTTACATCTTTAGCACTGGTGAAAAAGGTGAACACCACACTTGTTATCATTAGGAAAGGTACTGAAAACTGAAATGCCAATGTCACAATGTTTTTAAACAACCCTATGATGTGGCTGCATCCAAATTATTTTAGGCATTTTTATTTTATCACATTGCCTTTCTACAAATCCATGCTGTGGTTGCAGCAAGAATATTGTGGACAATACAGATGTTTTGATTAACTTAACTTTTGAGCCATCATAAACATATTTTGCACCTTCACAGTGTTGAGTATCTGGTGTATATCGAGTGATAATGATGCTGTTTGAATCCACTACAGTTTCAGGTTGTAACATGATTACAATGTAGAAAAATCAAAAGCCATTGAATATGTCTCTGGTGTACTGTAGTAAAATTGTAGAACTTGTTAGCGTAAGCCTTAGAGATGGCTGTTGACTCGGATGTCTTTTAAAAACAATTAGATACATTTATGGAGGAAGGGGCTATCACATTGGCTACAAATCATGATGGATGCATGCTACTTCCAGTATCACAGCTCTTCAATGGTAGTTTATGAGAACTGACAGCAGAAAAGAGCAAGTGTCCACAGATATGTGGTTGGCCACTTGGGGAAACAAATGTTCCAGCTCAGGTAGTTTTGCTTTCTTAACTGCCATCAAGTTGACTTCAATTTATGACAACCTTATGAATGAGAGTCCTCCAAGTCATACATTTATTCAAATCCCAAAAATCATAATCTGACTGCAGGTCCTGCGGATTCACAGCTGTGGCTTCCTTAATTGAGTCTACCCATCTGGAATGATGTTTTCCTCTTTTGCTACTGCTTTCTACTTTGCCAAACATCATTGTCTTTTCTAGTGAGCCCGGTCTTATCATTATACAGTATACCGAAAGTATGATTTATTCATCTTGGCTTCCAGAGAGAGTTCAAGCTTGATTTGCTCTAGGACCCATTTATTTGTCTTTTTAGCAGTGCACAGTATGCACAGAACTCTTATCCAGCACTACATCTCAAAATGAGTTTATTATCTTCCTTTCCACTATTTTCACTGTCCAGCTTTCACAACCATACACAACACAGTTGGCCCTTCGTTTTCACAGGGGATCCATTCCAGATGCCCTTGCAAAAATGGAAATGTGCAAATATTCAAGCCCTATAGGCTAGAATGGGCTGCCCTGCCCCCCGCGGGGTGAGCCCCATTGATTTAAATGGAGGTCTCCCCTCCGTGAATATGCAAAACCACAGACTTCATGTCTGCAAGAATGGAGGGGCAATTGTAAATGGGAAATACAATGGTATTGAGAATCCTAACTTTAGTATTCAATTGTATATATTTTCATTTTAAGCAGTTTATCATGTTCCAAAACCAGGAAAGGTAAATCACAAAATATGATAAGAAAGTAGTATACGGTTTGGCAAACTGTTCAGTCTCCTAAAAGCAAGTCTAGATCCTCCTGCAGAAGATTTTTTCCTCACTTGCGAAAAACAACTAAGCCATGTAAACTCATTTACATTAATTTTACATTCTCAAATTGCAGCAAATCATCAGCCTACCCATCATGAAATAGGGATAGGTGCATTTGTCCAGTTTTGTTTTGCATACCTCAGGTTTTGTTTCAGTTTCTTCCAGCTAACAAAAATATAGAATTCTGAATGTTGATAACAGGCTTTGCTCACATGTCCATTTATTTTGCTCACTTAAAATGTCTTCCTTCGATTTTTTTAAATTTTGCCCTTTCAAACTGCCTCTCTTTGCATGGAATAATAATTCAATAATAAATTTTATTAGGATAAACCAGGGGTAGGCAACCTTTTTGAGCTGGGGGCCAGTCCCGCGAAGTCCTTCCCGCCACTGGGCCAAAGGGGGGGGGATGGTGGCGCGTGCACACGCGTGTGTGTGCGCGTGCACTCCCCCCGTGAGCTGCCACTGCTGCTGCTGTGCAGCCACCTCCACATGCGCCGCGACTGCCATTTTGATTTTCACAATGGTGGCTGCGACATGTTTGCACATGAAAATCAGAATGGCGGCCATGACTCGTTTGCGCATGCTCAGTACTCCTGCGCATGCACAAATGCGTTGTGGCTGCCATTTTGAAAATCAAAATGGCGGTTGCAGCATGCACGGCTGCACAGCAGCAAAAACGCACAGCGGCGTGTGGCGGCGGCAACCTTCTGCCTGGGCCGGTAAGTACTGGGACCTGGGCCTTAACCGGCCCGCGGGCTATAGGTTGCCGGTCCCTGGGATAAACAATTCCAGCTTATTTAATTGGAAGTAGCCAGTTTTGCCTTGTGTTTTTCTGCTCCGGCAGAGAATAAAATGTGTTTTGAAATAAATCAATATAACCACAGACTCTCCTTTCACAGTAGTCTTTTTTTCCTTTCCTTTTTGTTTTGTTTTTTAAAAATCCTCTTTTCTGCATGACCTTAAACTTTCCCTACTGTCTGAGCTCATTTGTAAGTCTTGATAATGAAAGTTTGAATAACAAAAGTCTGGAAGGGCTCTTGATTTGTGCCTTATCATTGTTGCAATGTTTATTCTGAATCTTCAAACTTGGGTAGAAATTGGATGAGGGAGAATTTTGCAAGCATTTCAGTTATAAAACTGGAATAAGTATGTGAAACTAATATATAAAAAGTATGCAAAGGAATCTTGTAGTCTCTTCAGTTAATTTGAAAGTAACTGAAAGAAAGAAGCTGGCAGCATGAGCTTTTGTAAGAGTTAAGTCTACTTCCTCAGATCTACAAAAGCTCATGTAACCAGATTATTTCACAGTCTCAAAGGTGCTATCAGATCTCTTTTCAGACTGATTTTCCAGACTAAGGGCCTCTGCAGAAGGGCCCTTTGCAGCATGTTGGAGGCAAGGGAGGGGAGGGGCAGCCAGACACTGGGCGTCACATCCTCTTCCTGAGGACGTCATCGAAGCGATGGCCCGTCCACACAACAGGCACTCCGATTACGTCCTTCCACAGGCCCCATGCCTTTTGAGGTGCCCCTTTCGCAGCTTGCGGAAGGAGCGCTATTTTAGC